TATACGTTGCCCAGGGTGCACCACGTGGAGGTAAGTCTATCACACACCCCACAAAAAATAATAGAAGATAATTAATAAATCAAATATTACTTGTCTTGATTACGCATTCTCATTTTGATCAAAAGCACTGCATTTCAATTGATAGTTTGCACACGCACACACCCCCACCCTCCTCCGATTTTGTTGACGCACTTTTTTAAGAGATACCACTAACTATCTAAAAAACATTAAAATAATAATAAAAAACCAACATCATTTTCTTTAAAATGAGGATTTTACGACAACGCAAAATTAACTTCATGATTCTAGGTAAGTGCAATTCGCTTTCAACTTAAGCCACCCCCTATGAGCAGGTATATTGGGATATTAGGCGGATTCTCTTCTTTGTGTAATTTATTTCCGAAATGGCTCTAGCTTACAAATAGCCATCATTAAATCGAGAAAAAAAGGGTAGGAGTTTCTTGGCTTTAAATCACAACATCGCAGGACTGTAAGTACAAAGATGGGTGTGGTGCAGACAGATCTCTGCTCTTGAGAACCGATAAAGCTGTCACCTTGGTTGAGTCTAAGCTGAACATAATCCCTTCAAACGTTTAATCCACAAATATCTCCAGGATAAACCAACACCGATCGTTATCGCTAGGTTGTGGACTGAGATTTCCTATTTTCACTTTGCAATATATAAATATAACCAATGTAAATATTTTCTTGCTTTAATATACGACCCATAGTAATGTTGAGAGTAAAGAGTTTTAATAGAAAGTTGAAATTTAGGAAATCGATAAACGACCAACAGGCTGAATGGAGCCGTGATGAGACAGAAAATTTTATTTAATGCTTTATGGCATCGAGTCCCAAAAGTGTATACAATCCAACTATACGTTTGTCGCTCCTGTATTCATCTATCTGATCTAGCTCATTGTGTAGTAAAATTATTCTGTAGGACCCAACCTAATGAAGAATTGACGTAAGACTACTAAATTCATTATGAAGTAAGTACAAAAGTAAACCTTGAGATGGAATTCGAATTTTCAGAGTAAGCGCGTTGGAGAATATCAGTTGAATGCGTCCTCAAGTTCCATCTCACCATATTCGTTTCTTCTCTTCTGGATCACACACACACACACGCACCCACTTCATCACTTACAATTGCTTTAGTGAAATTTATTTTTTTCAATTTTACTACTTCTGTATGCTTATATCAATCAAAATATTGATTAAGAACTTTAATATAAATTCCTTATTTTTCCTAAATGTTGCTATGAATGTTAAGAGTGTGGTTTCCAAGAACTTGTCCCTCCAGTTTAAGTGTGCTGGCTACCATTTTAATAATTAGTAACAACATTAAAACGACATCATTTTGTGAATTAAGCAATAATATTATTAATTCATCACATATGTAGTCGCAATTTAAAAGAAAAGCGTAGCATCTGCAAAATTGCTAAATCTCTTTCGCAATGCATGGTCTTTGTAGTGAAATAAAATTATTAAAAAATCAAATCAATGTTTTGTCATTTATCTCAAAATTAGTGACACTTTGTACTAATTTTCAGCAATACATATAGCTAGTTCAAGAAGAGTGCTCACTACGAATTTGTATTTTCTTTAAGTGAAAATGAAATAAAATGACAAAATATTGATCGGAGAAGAGAATAGTTAAAAAAGGGGGGGGGGGAAGACGATTTGAAGATCAACATGTCGCAAAAATATTGCGTAAAATTAGAACAGGAGTATAATGCAAGTGACACAAAGTTTCCACTGATGATATTTAAATCAACGAACATGCTTCATAGCACTTAACGACTTGATGAGGATAATGGTTGGTGGAATGAACAACAAGCATGCCAAAACGAGACCAGTGATATTCCCAATCATAGGTTTTGGAATGAGGAGGGCATATTGAAGACAGGAGAATGCGCCAGCTATAGCTCCACCAATGCCATACAGCGTTCCAAATTGATTAATTGGGAAGGCAGCTATGAGGGACGAGGAGAAGGAACTGAACAAGAAACCCCGCATGAGTACAAGAAATACAAAATTCACATAGTAAACAGCCTCCTTAGGAACAAAGACTAGACAGCTGACTATCAATGAAAAAGTTGCCATTATATACATTGAGAAAGCCATGGGACGTAATTTCAGCCAAAGGACGGCCTTATTTCGCTCATCGGAAGGTTCGAGGCTTACAAGACGTTCAATTTTGGGTTTGAAAACGGCTCGAAGTTTATCTATCACTGTACCACAAAGTAAACCAGCTATGATACCTCCAGCAAGACAGTAAGAGAGTATACTACCGATTCGATCCACTGTAGCATTGTCAGTGAAGTGATCATTTGCAGCTGGAGTAAGTTCTGCCAGAAAGAATGTGAATCTGAGAAGAGCGAAGCAAAAGTAGGCAGTAGCGACAATGAAGGGAACGGATTTGAGAGACTTGGCTCTGGTTGGAAAGAGTTCTGTTAGAATAGCATCTGCAGCAGCATCGACATCCGAATTTCCCTCATCCACAATTCCAATCTTTACGTCCTCGTATATATCCTCCTAAGGAAATAAAAACAAAGCTTAATCACTTGCAAGTCAGGCACTGAATTACTCATGCCCATCTTTAATACTTACTTGTGGCTCAAATGTCTTAAAATTAATTGAGTTGGAAAGTTCTTCTTCAAATTCGTCTGCATCGTCATAGTCCCCATTCTTATATTTGGCCATTTGAGGAAGCCAGTAGGAGAGAATGAAACATGAACTAAATAGACCCATAGCTAGGCCGCAGAAGGCGAGAATAAGGAAAGATGTTTTAAATGAGAGTCCAGCGTTGTAAGTGAGTTGAACAATAGCAAACATTGTTGACGATGCATCGTATGAGCCAGTTATGAATGCAAGAACAACTACAGCTGTTTTATTGAAGAGCTGATTAATCGAAATATTACAGACAAACATTCCCATTCCACCGACAGCCGCTAAAGTGCCTCCAATAAAAATCATGAAGGAAGTAGAAGGCGTGACAAAGGCGAATATCAACATTCCAATAAAGTAGATGAGAGTACATATTAGTTTAACTAATCGAAGACCGATATAATCTATTAGGACACCCACAACGACAAGCATGACCATCATGGTTACTGAGTAGGTAGTTAACGCGTTAGCATATATATTGATTTGTTCTGGGCAACCTTTTGGATCAGTGCTGTCAGGACAAACATCCGCAAATATGAGCTCTTTTGAGAGAACTGGGAACAGCGCGTTCATGCCATAAAATATACCACCAAAGAAAATCATTTCGCAGACGCCGAAGATCACACCGAGCACTCTCCTTAATTTGAATGGTATTACATGATCAAGCTTCACGCCTAAAACAAAAGGAAGATGGATTTTGATGTAAGACTTACATTTGACAACTAAGAAAGTTAAATTCTTAAATTTATTTGTGCCTTCGAATAGCAACTAAGACATCTTATCAATATTATCTGCAATATTCAAAATAAAAATTTATTAGTTATCAATGAAATATTTACCGTAATATAAGCAAATAAAATGGGATCTTGTGTTTTGATTCAAGAAAACGACTTACATAGATCCCACATCTTTAGGGTTTGAAAATTGGTTAATACAAGGTCGCTACAATATCTGTTTATTTATACTATAAAACGAGGCTATGGTTAAAATAAAATTAATATTTGTGAAAATAAATAGACTATTATCCTAATATTTTCAATGAACTACACACTTAATTTTGACTTAGTGGTCAAACAATTTAATCAAAATTTTTGATATTAGTAAAAACGGGTTGGATGGAAAAAGTTTTATATCAATTTAGACGATTATGCATTCAAGGGGAGAAAATTGGATTAAGATTTAATTAGAGAAATTTCAGGTAGATAATACGTGTGTGGTTGCGATCGAGTACATTTTGGGTTAAGGACTACATTATTTTCTAAAACCTTTGTGGAAATGACTAACGAATATGCATAAGTTTGTTGTAATTTATTCGGCTTGTTTGGATTTTACAGATTTTTACATATTCAAATTTAAAAATAGTTATTCGTATGAATTTGCCACATTGAATAAACGGTTTCGTAATATTACCTTGAACACAATCTCCCGTAACCCAAGTGTAATTATAGAATTATGTCGGGGAAACTTAGGTATTGAGTTTACGGAAGAGGCTAACAAAAACTGTATACTATGATTTATTTGGTCAGTTTCGTTTTTTGTATACTAGAAGCACGAGTATGAAGTTTTTGCAGCAGTTTGCTAAACAAATGAGCCTTTATTTAATCGAAATAATCTAAGTAGCAAAATATCTTATAATAGATAGGCTCCCGGAATTAGTTAAGATATCTCAATAGGATAAGAGAATTAGACTTATAGCGGATATAGCTATTATTGAAATTATGATCACTTAACGTTACTTAGAATCCCAATGGCTGACTAGCTGAGAAATCCGCTGCGTATACGGCTGCACCATCCAGAATGTTTGAGTGAGCGATTTAATCGTGTTAGGAATGCGTACTCTACACCATTCAGTCAGTATGTTCAATTAATTAATATTATTATTAATTATTAGCTGTGGGAAATGAAAAATATCGACGGGGTGCCTAGAGGTGGCCAACTTATATGAGTGCATGTATGTACCTGTATATGAATAACCACTCAGATGCCAGGGTTTAATCGATGACGAGATAGAGCAGAGGTCTAAAAAGAAAGTATTCTGTTTTTAAATAATAACCACTTCCTAAAATATCAATGTTCTACACAAATTTTTTTGACAGACGCTTGAAGGAATTTTCGTTTATTTTTTAAACTTTCTGCACCATTGTTTGTGTTATTTCAGTTAAAATCCATCGTCATATAAGTGATTAAGCAACCATGTACCTATGACTACTTTTAATCTTCGTGTACTGGCTCTAGTTGACATAAATGCATCAGAAACGGTTTTACCCTCCACTTCTAATTTTCCCTTACTGAATCTGCATTAAACTTTGAACTATAACATATTTCTTTTTATGGGATTTGCGATAAACTTACCTCTACGTGGTGCACCCTGGACAACGTATACTCATACGGCAAAACAGCCTTTTATTCGGCAGTTGACTTCTACCTTCTAACTACCATGACCTCATTGTATGCCACAGTCGATCACTTCTACAGTATTCACTTTACCCTGCTCTCTATCATTGTGCCTGTCTCTTTTACATCCGCAAGTCACTCTTCGGTCCACCCTCTTGAATTTTGATATTGCTCTTCTCTATGAAGTTCGAAGTCAACTAAGGGCTAATGAAAACCACCAAAATGCCTGATATTCGAAATAAATAAATATTTCTTTTTATAGTCCTATTATTCTTACACAGTATTACAAATATTATAATTGCTATAATCCTCTATAATCCTCCCCAGAATTGTCCAAACTTTGACTTTCTGAACATCTCACACAAAACTATAGTATTAGGAGACTTCAACGCCCACTCCACCAGATGGGGCTACAAGGATACAAACATAGCTGGAAAGGAAATTGAAGACATGCTAAACAGCAACCCTCAGGAACTTATTTACAGCAATGAGGATCCGGCTACATATTTGCACTACAATGGATCCAGAACAACTCCTGATTTACTCTTGGCTTCAAGCGACATCAGTGAGCATACACACCGCAAAATAATTGACGATCCTGGTTCTTGTCACAAACCAGTCATTGCAAGTATTACCATCGGCAGCAAAAGCATGTCAAGGAAAGTGCCAACTAAGCTATCATGGAACTTCAAGAAGGCTGACTGGCCTAGATTCACAAACCTTTTAGAGGATGAACTTCATTCAAGTCCCCTCAACTTCAACCAACATCCTGACAAACTTTGCACTGCTATCACGAATATTATGATCAGATGTGCAAAGAAAACTATTCCCCGAGGCATAACTAAACACTATCGAGTGTTTTGGTCTAAACACCTTGAGGAACTGAAAAGAAAGAAGGACGCCCTTCGCAACACTGCTGATCAGACTGGAAGAATGGAAGACGTAAAAGCCTGGAGACGACAAACAGCTGTCCTAAGGCAAGGCATCTTACAAGCTAAACGCACTTCTTTCGACAAGTACATCTCAAATATAAACTATTAAAGTGATAGCCAATGCACTTCGAATTTCTGAGAAACCTGCAAAACAACAGAGAAAGACCCAAGAAAGAACCAATACGCTTAAACAGCAAATTGCTTACTACCGACACCGAAATAGCTAACTGCTTCGCGAGGTTCTATTCCCACAAGCAAAAGAAAAAGCCTTTTGTCAGAAAATCTTTATGAGATTTAAAGATACAAGTAAGACAGTTTGGTGAAATTAAGGAAGACATAGCAACACCAAATAATGTACTTACTGAACCATTCCGACCTTGCGAACTTAATGCTGCGATAAAACAGCTAAAGTGCAAGAAGTCTTCTGGCGAAGACGGTATTCATCCGGAATTTCTAATTAGAATGAGACCAAAAGCCAAGGAAACCATGCTGACGCTTTTCAACAAAATCTGGGAGACCAGTCTCGTACCTAACCAATGGAAAGTTGCCATAGTAATACCAGTACTAAAAAAGGGCAAAGACCCTAGCAACTTTGTCAACTATAGGCCTATCTCCCTCACAAGCGTGCTGGCTAAACTTATGGAAAGAATGGTTAACAGGAGGCTGACCTGGTTCCTTGAGATTAACAATATTCTTAGGAGTGAACAAGCAGGTTTTAGGCCAC